CGCGACGATCGTTACGATCGTCGTGGGCGTCGCACCATCGATTCTCGTATAATTCTAATCGTAGCGCTTTTTTGCTTTCAGTGGATCGTTCGTTTCGACTATTGTACGGAAATTACGGAGCCGGTTCGTATGAGGAAGCGAGCAAGTTCCACGCGTCGGACGATGTCTACGGATCTCCTCGACGCAGAGGCAGCAAGAAAAAGAACTACGTGTGCCCAAAGTGCGGGAATGGTTACACCGTGGTGAAAAGTCTGAATCGTCACCTTCGTTACGAGTGCGGCGTCGCACCCAGATTCAAATGTCCGTACTGCGGTACTCGCAGCAAGCAAAGGGCACACGTGAACGAGCACATACGTAGAAAACACTCGGGTCAACGCATCTACATTATCGATTCGCCTTGATGACCAGCTCTTCGTAACAGCTGTTCCCCGTCCAGTCCATCATCGTCGTCGACGTTCTTCCGTTTCTCTTTCTCCCGAATGCCCACGTTTTCTTTTCGCATTCTAACCGACAACGAACGTCTTGTAACGAAGGTATAGCGTCGTCGTTGTCGCCTCGTCGTCACGATCTGCGTCATCGTTATATATACACACATATAACATCGAAGGACGGGAATACTGGCCGTCGTAACGTGTGTGTGTGTGTGTGTGCGGTTTTTCACGAATGTACATGTGAAATGCGAATAAAGCATTGTTACGGTGCTACTGGACTCGAACAAGTACCACCTGTTGGCGATCGTTCGCGAGAGAGTTTTTCCTTTCGCTTGGACGCGCGACGATCAACGTTCGCTTCTCTTTGCCGTGGAAATCGAATTCGCTAAAACGACGCAGCCACTTGCGGTCGCTTTGGTCGTTCTTTCAACTTTCCTCCGCTTCGCCGGTTAACGAGTTAATCGACGGTTAATCGACGGTTATTCTCGTCCCTGGGCCGAGAAGCTCCGAACACGGAAGCTCTGCCTTTGCGTGTTTGCTCGCTCAAAGACACTGATAAAAGGTCAGCTTGCGGTCTTCTCGGGGACAAGGTGGCGGGAAAAATAACTCGCGGTAACCCGATCCTCTTCGTAACGATAACCGCTTCCATCATTTTTGTTTTCTTCGTGTATCTGACCGGTCATGCGAACACGTCCCGAGACTGCGACTAATTGCGTTTCCTTTTTACTTTTCTTTTTTTAGACATCAAGAGGATCAAGATAGAAACCGATCTGGAGAATCTTTGCTCGGTGGTGATGGAAGAAGCGAAGGATTTCGATTACGAGGAAGAGAAGCCGCTCGGCTCGAGGAGGCGTAGGGCCACCGCTATTCGAGACATTGAGAGGCACACGTGCTCTAGATGCTCCAAGAGCTACATACACGCATGGCATTTAAAAAGGCACACCAAGTTCGAGTGCGGACAAGAGCCGAGAGTTCAGTGCCCTTACTGTGCTGCGCGAATGAAACAACGCGGTCACGTTTATAGACACATTCGTCAGTGTCATCGTGGTCAAAACGTATACGTGATCGATCTGAATTGAGATCGAACTCTGCTCCGATCAATTCCGATTTGCCAATCACGGGCAACAAGTTCCTTTTTCCGCGACTTTTGTACTCGTACTACTCGCCGGGCGAACGACGAGAAACAAACGAGACGACGAAACGATCGTCGAATATCGTTCCTCCTCTAACGCTAGTTCTTTCTGCCTTTTAGTCGCCAGCAGAAGAGAAATCGGTTCGAGTTTCGCGCGTAACGTTTCTAAGATAAGATTTCGCGCGACAAATGCAATTGTTCGCTTCTGCAGAGAATGCCGCAGGACCGTGCTCGC